TTGACACTTTCGACTTGCGAGCAACGTTCCTCTATTGAACGCCTCCACGTGGTTCAAACTTTGTTGACCAAAAGCAACCTAGTTCCTGGCCTCTACAGCCGTATTACACCGGCAGTTGGATACTCTATTCAGTTATATATCCCTTAACGCTTTAGACGATATAATATATCGGATAAAAAAAAATGCCACACATTTTACGTAATAACTTCCGCCACATACAAATACACTTTTTACTGTCATAAATAACTTTATTGCCGATGAAATAAGGAATTCATCGGTATGCTACATGTTATATCTCAGCACATCACAGAAACAAGTATGACCCTCCGAAGTCGGACAGAACCATTCGCCCAAAAACTGACACCAACACAAAACTGTCTTGTCAGATCATGAAGACGGCATATCCTTGCAACCTACCATACACTATTGATCTGAACTATCGCAATGGCTCTTCTTGGCCCTATTGGAAGATGCAATAGGCATGGAAGAGGACCATGAGGTTCAATTTGGTGGTCTGATGGACTGAGAAAATCCGAGTGTATTGCTTGTCATCCTGAATGTTAATAGTTTTGCAAGACAAAGGCTAGCACCTTCAAAGGTGAAGGATAGTCATTCGAAAATGATTCTTAGGTTGATGGCATGGCTGTCTATCCTGCAAAGCGGGCTGCTGGCAATTGCGGTTTGGCAGAGTCACATGGCCAACGCATTATGTGACAATAAACCAAGAGAAGCACAAAGGAAGAAGTTTAGAATGATTGCTACATCTAAGCCATGGCTTCCTACGCCTGGATTCAGAGGGAAACAGCAAAAGCACACTGTTGTTATCAAGAAAGGAAACGAGCAACTCCATGGAGTCAATTTCGCTTATCAGAAGGCTCTGGAGAAGCAAATTGGAGCTACAGCGACAACCAAGCTTACCGTACCTGCTAGGAAGTATTCATATTTAGGTTTGTCCCTTTGTAATGATCATTTTAATGCTTATTATAGTAGTAGTGTGGTGTAAATGGTAGTGTGTAAATTTTTTTATATCCGATATAATATATCAGATAAAATCGAAGTGTTAAGGGATATATATATATATATATATATATTTGTGTAGCTTCTTTTCCCGCTGCATAGTTTTCTGAGTTGCTGCTTCAGTGCCTCATAGTACTTCAATCTTGATTTGTAGGAACCCCCCATCGTGAATGTTTCGAGCTCTCCTTCAATCTGCAGATGGAGTGGCTCCTTTTCAGGCGCAGGCGACACTGACGTGGTTACCGGAGCTGCAGACCCTCCATCTTTGTTCATTTGGGGTTCCAGGCGTTTGAAGAGAGTAAATGTGGTTGCTCCACCATTGTTCGTTTTGCTTCCTTTGACATTGCCCAGGTCTGTTAATCCTGCGTTGATTAAGAGCTGGGAGTAGCAACTCTCTCTGTTGACCTTTGCGGATACAACAAATTGGAGATTGGGCGGGGCTGCCTGGATGAGATCTGCCATGTGGAGCATCAATCCGGGAGGAAACGCCTCGTCGTACATTATCAATGTTGTGACTTGCTTAGGTATCTGTTGGAGGTTATAAAGATCTCCCAGAGCAAGCATCGTTCCTTGGTTGAACCGTTCGTCGAGCCTGTACTCTGCAAAAAAATTAATAGCGGCATGGGCAGCAAGGAATGTACGGTGGTTGCAGTACTCAATACCCAAGGCACAACAATGCAACTCAACCAACATTCGAAACACCATAGTACCAATGCCACTACCAGCATCAAAGAGGCAGTCGTCTTCTTTATACTCGTGGTGATCCTTGAGCATGTCCACAATTCCTGTGATCGTTTCTTTGGTCACTTCGGCATAGGTCGAACTTCCATTATGTGCCAGTTCTGTTCCCTGCTTACCAAACACCGTGTGAATAGTATCCACAATCTCTCGATAAGGACTTTTCTCTTTTTCCAGACGTTTCCTCATATTCATAAGTTGTGTCTTTTGCGTGTGCAGTGCCCTCTCCTTTTGTCGTTGTTCCTTCAATTTTTGTTTCTCCCTTTGGTGTTCTTGCTCTTTTTGTTTCGCTGACATTAGACAAGATAATATGTTGTAGAAATCAGTACAGTCTCAACTTACCAACAGCGATTCGAGCCAGTACCATCCCAGTTGGAACGTGACAGGGATCTTCCAAAAGTTTTTCCAGATCGTGCACACCGAGTGCATGAAACTGCTTCTGAAAGCAGGAATGAACCTCCCCGTCGTTGCAGTCGGCTGCCAGTACCGTATTGGAATCTATAGTTCCCCCCTCGGCACACAAAGTTTGCAAAAGGAGACGCTTGACTGGAATTGCAAACTGATCCAACAGCTCCAATTTCCTTTCTTCTTCAGTTTCTTCCCCTTCCGACAGAACCGTATCTCCCAGTGTATCTCCCAGTGAACTTGTTTCTTCGTCCGCACTGAAGATAAGTCTACCTCCCATCTGGGGTGAATGATAAACCGAACCTTCTTCTTGCATTGCGTTGTCAAATTGTTCCGGTGTGAAAAAAGACTCAATGGTTTCTTCCGCTGGTGTCTGGACTGGATTGTCTGGTCGTTCACTTGTGGAGTAGGAGTAAGAGCTCAGAACTGATGTCTCCACTGATTTATCTCGTCATTCAATTGTGCAGTAGGAGTAAGAGGTTGCAGTTTGCGTAGCTTCTTTTCCCGCTGCATAGTTTTCTGAGTTGCTGCTTCAGTGCCTCATAGTACTTCAATCTTGATTTGTAGGAACCCCCCATTGCGAATGTTTCGAGCTCTCCTTCGATCTGCAGATGGACTGGCTAGTACTTTTCAAGTGCAGGCAACACTGACGTGGTTGCCGGAGCTGCAGACCCTCCATCTTTGTTCATTAGGGGTTCCAGGCGTTTGAAGAGAGTAAATGTAGTCGCTCCACCATTGTTCGTTTTGCTTCCTTTGACATTGCCCAGGTCTGTTAATCCTGCGTTGATTAAGAGCTGGGAGTAGCAACTCTCTCTGTTGACCTTTGCGGATACAACAAATTGGAGATTGGGCGGGGCTGCCTGGATGAGATCTGCCATGTGGAGCATCCATCCGGGAGGAAACGCCTTGTCGTACATTATCAATGTTGTGACGTCGAGGTGTTACCAACACTGCAACAAGACCGACCGCAAATTCCGGCGTTTCAGGAGTTACCAAGTTTGCCGGTTTGGTAACCGAAGGTAGCATACTATTACTTCGTTGCCTATTCTGCTCTGGAATGTTCAACTTCACCACCTTTATTTTAGCACGGGGTACGTTCAACTTCACTATCATTTTAACACCGGGTACCGGCTGTTGGAAGCACTCAGGCTGCGAAAAACTAGTTACCAACCCACGAGACAGAAAGTCATCCTTGAGCCATCGCCAACGTGCCTTGTGGTAGTCTAGTTTTTCCAAATTACGACGGTCTTCCACCGTCATTTGGCGTCGTCCCCAGATAATGCAAGTAATTCATTTGACTGTAGGAATGCCTGGACTACGTTTGGATGGATAAGTCTTTTGAACTTTCTCCTGATCCTTCCCTGTTTCTTTAGAGTGATGTCATTCATTTCAAGTATGACAAGCATTGCATCGCAAGTTAGCTTCTCCAGGATGGGCGTCTGCGTCTTCCACTCTTCCTCCATTGCGCTCTGTGAGACTTGCCTTGGCATGATGCAGCAATAGTAGATACAACAAAGACAGGGAGTATTGGTACGTCGTGAAGACAAGTTTGGAGGCGCTGAAAAAAATGAGCCGTATTTTGCCACGACGGTTATGTACGAAGACGCACACATAATCAAAAAAAGGCAACATCACAAAATAACAAAACCGCACCAATGAATCCGTGTGGGGTTAGATCTTCGTCCATTTTCCACCTTGCATGCCAATTTGGTCGCTCCCTGGAACCCCCTCTAACAAGGGCAGGTGAATTAACACCGGAACTACTGTGGGAGAACATTGTATCTGGCGAGCAATCACTTCATGTTGCGTCAAAACCGGACTTGCCAATAGACAAAAACTACTTCACTGTTGTTGAACATTGGTTTCTACATTGTCCCAAGGTCGGCATTTCTCACCAGTGCCAAAATGAAGAGCATTTAATCAACGACTTTGACTTGCTTGACCCGACAGTGAAAAATACACAAGATTGGGGCTTTGTTGTCAAGACGTGCAGAAACGTCCATCTTTTCACACAACGCGCCACGGTCAGCCAACAGGGCGAAGTAGTCATGGAGATAACGGGAAGAAGTATCTTCAAAGAAGGACCCGCCGGTGAACAAAATGGTGGAGGCCTTTGGGAAACTACCCATTTGGGCAACTGTATCTACAGGAGAGTACTTCCTTGAATCTCAGTCAAGCAATGGTCACGAATTCAACCTTGATGTGGTATGCTTATCGGTGATGTTACAATTATCTTTGAATGTAACAGTGAGCACCAGATTTCTGGATGCAGAGTCTCTCTCGAACATCAAATTATTCTTTGATCTTTGCTACACCAGCTTCGGGGAGCAGAAAGTGGAAAAAATGATTCAATATGATTGTTGCCAGAACTGGTTTGCCTATCATCCAGGGCTTCCAGAAAGTGCCATAGAAAAGCTAGAGCGTGTCACACTTACGTGTGGGTTTGTCAGATTTGGGCCGTGGTGCGGAACGAAAAGGGCGCTAAGGGAGAAGACAAACAAATTAGAAGACGAGAAACGTCGACGCCAGCAAACGGAGGAAGAACTCACCAATAAAAGGAGGAGAGTGGAGCAGTCGGAGCAGAAATTAGAACGGCAATCCAGGGAGGCCGCGTCGGAACTCGTCAGGGTGCAGACCCATCGTCACCAGTTGGAAACCCAGCATAATGCTTTTCTTGTCATTCACCAACGCGAACGAAACGATTTGGTTGCTTGCCAGTTGGAGCTACAAAGGTAGGTAGAATGCATCTTTAGTCCGTACAACACGTCGACAAAAGACACTAATCAACAACACTGGCGGAAAATAAATAGATCCAGAGAGGAGTTGAGGGTACTGCGACAGACGGATATTGCAACGGTGACAGAGGAAAGGGATCAGCTTCTGAGGCAAGCACAACAATGCGAGCAATTCATTAGAAACATCCAAGAAGCAGAGGCCGAGAATGCAACCCAATTCGACCAAATGGAAAATGAAATCGCAAGACTAAGCGATCTGGTCACAGGGAGGGATCAAGACATGTATGTAGCCGATTCCCACAATGGGTCAGACTGGTCAGACGTTGGATCTAATGGCCAGGATGAACATGTTAGAATAAAGCAAAATGTGCTCTATCGTGAGTGCTTTTAGCGCTCAGAACAAACTCTCTGCAATCTAAATTCGTAATTGACAGTACAACACTTTCACGACAATAGTTCTCCTGTGTCTAGGTATACTTTGAGTGAAATTGTTCCTATTTGATTAATGTTTGGCTTGAATTGATGATTCAATCACAAAAAAGAGTTCGACGATTTTCCCTTGGAAAATCCCTTGTTTACAGAACTCGATTCGACTTCTACGGCAATTCTGTGTTGAATGCAGTACTTTGGGACATCTTGCATAATTCCCTACTGCATCGTACACAACATCGATATTCCACTTGTACAGGATCTTTTCCTGTTTGTGTGGATACAGATTGTCCGACAGACTTGCGTCCGGCATACTTGCGTCGAATCCCGA